TCCTCTCGTTGAGCAACAATCCAGTCGTCCTGCAGTCGACTCGTGCTCGCCGCAGCCTCGCAGGGCTTCGCTTTCTGCAGACTCAGCTCTGAAGCGCTCGCTGTGTGCAGGACCTGAGCCGCTGGCAGTCGAGCAAGACGGGCCGCGGGCCTCTGGAGGAGGGCTGGAGGGCCGAGCACCAGCCCGTCATGTGCTCCTACAAGAGGGTGCAGTGCAGCTTCGAGGTGTACGGCTTCCAGACCAGGACCGAGGAGCTCATCCACCGGGTGAGAGCCAGCTTCGTCTCATTTCCTCTGATCTAAGGAACCACAGCCCTAGACAAACAAACAAACAAACAAACAAACAAACAAACAAACACGTGAGCTGCTGACAGAAGCCAAAAAGAACAACTGAACTTTTAAAATGCGACAAAACAGCGGGTGGCAATAAAATGACGACAAGTAAAAAGAACAAACTTAAAAACAAAACAAACAAAAAAAAAAAAAACAAACAAACAGAAAAAAAACAGAAACAAAAACAAAAAAAAAAGGAAAAATAACCATAAAATAAGCACATCATTAGAAAAGCAAAAGAAAAAAAAAAGAACAAAAAAAAAAGAGTAAAAACAGAGACGTGACGTAGAAATTAATCAAAATTTTAGCAATGTTTTGTTACATTAAACACAAAAAGCAAAACAAAACTCCCTGTAACTGTAACAGATACAATCATCAAAAAAGAACAACAAAAAAAAACAAAAAAACAACAGAAAAAAAATGAACCACTACTTAATAGACTACTGTGGTCTTCGAAAAAAAAAAGCGATGATTTATCATCTTGTTTTGCTGATTTAACTGCAGTCAATGGGTCTAGTTTTACAGTTAAACGTTGTGAAAGAACAAATCATGATTTGGAAAAATATAAAGATTTGATGTCGACGTTATTTATAATTTTAACCCTTTTTACACTCAATATGAAAATTAACAAATTTTTTCTGTCATTTTAATCGTTTTTAATCGTTGCAGCTCTACAAACTGAAACAGAAATTTAAAAGCCAGCAGCGTGAACACGGCGCACTTAAAAGATGTTCAGACATCTCAGCGTAAATTAAATGAAGATTTTGACCTCTGACGTGTATTTAAAAGAGAGTTATTTGTGTTGTCGGCTGTTTTCTGGACAAATCGATCAGCTGTTTGGTTTCTAAAATACGAGAAAACGTATAAAAGCGTGGATCAGTCCAAATATATTCACTTTATTGTCTTTCAAGAGGAACGAAACCAGAAAATATTTACATTCAAGAAGCTGCAAACATCGGATCTAAATCTAAACTGAGTAAAAATATGTGTTTTTTTGCAGCATTTGAAGGAGAGCTGCTAATTAGGTGTTTGTTTTGTGGTGTCGATTGTTTTCTGGACAAATCAATCAACTGTTTGGTCTTTAAACTGCGAGAAAATGTTTAAAAGTGTGGATCAGAGTTTCCTCAAATGTCTTTTCTCCAGATTTCTCCAGCTTCCTGTCGTCAAAGAGGAAAGAAACCAGAAAATATTCCCACTGAAGAAGCTGCAATCACAGAATGTAGAGTTTTTGTCTAAAACAAATCAATTAATTGTTGCATCTCTATCTGAAACCAGTTAAAATTCACCACCACGGGCGCTCGTTCACGCCGAGTAAATCTGCCATAATAAAAGGCTAATTGTGCATAAACTGTCATAATCTTTGCATAGATGTAATCGTGGAGGAGAAGCTGCTGGTGTTTGTCTAAACTCAACGTCTTCGGGTTCATCCGCTGGTCAAACAAACCATCCAGTCGCTAAAACGTTTTTTTTTTTTTCCCCCAGAATTTCATCGACAGAACAAGTAATCGCCAAGTTTCTGTCTCCAGCAGCTGCGTTAAAGCTAATCTGGGCGGCACAGCGTCGGCAAAACAGCAGAATGCAAAAGATTTAGGAGATAAGAATCTGTTAAATTGAGCCGAGGCAGCTGGAAGCTCATTCAGAGCCGTTAGCAGAACCGCTGGAAGTCCAAACAGGAGCATAATGAAGAACGGCGCCGTTGTTTTGTAACGAGGCTGCAAATAATGACCGTTTCTGCTGTTAATTAATCTGCGTGTTGTTTCCTGGATCCATCGATTAGTCGTCTGGTCTCTGAAATTACAAAAAACGTCAATTAAGATTACGATGATGAATCCCGTTTTGTCCAGAGAGGCTCGGTTTGTCACAGAAAGGAACCAGAAAACATCCAAACTGACTCGTGGAATATCAGAACAGTTGGAGACGAATACGACGGTTGACAATTAATCATCACAGCTTCACCCGATTCAGACTGAATGCTTCACTGAAACTGAATATTTGACTTTAACAGTTTAAAACCTCGGCAGTGTCGATAAGGTGCACCAGAAGGTCCTCGCTGAAGATCAAAACGGAATTCAGATTCAAAAGAGGGATACCAGTTATTATCATTGCTGATTGTTTTCCAGCGGTTTGGTCTCTAAAATGTCAGAAAATGGTGAAACATGTGGATCAGAGTTTCCTCAGATGTCCTGGTTCGTCCACAGACGTTCAGTTTTCTGTCACAGAGGAAAGGAACCAGGAAACCAATCGATCAGTTGTTTGGTCTCTAAACGGCGAGAAAACGGGAAAAAATGTGGTTTTACTGTCATCACGGAGGAAAGAAACCAGAAAATATTCACGTCACAGAGTTTAGACGGCACTGTTTACCCAGAGCAGTGATTGATTTAATAGTCGATAACTAATTGATTGATCTCTGCAGCAACATTAATCCTCCTCATCAGTGTTGATCCACTCAGTCGCTGCAGCTGCAAACTGTCGTATTTCTTCCTCTCCTTTGACTTATTGATAAATGAAGCTGCTGCGATCAGCTGATCATCTAGAAGAGTCTCCATTTGTCCAACTACCAAAACCTCCAGCTGAACGTCTCACGACAACCGACGTGACAGAAATTCATTTAAAATCTGCTGGAGGCGACCAAAGCGGAGCTAAAAGTCAGGATTCATTCACAGTGAATCTTCTCTGTCTGGACTTAAACTTTTCTAACAGAGTTTGGTTTGACGGTTTATTCCAGCCCCATAATCAACCGTTATTTTCATGGTTGATCATTTTCTGGACGAATCAATGAGTCGTTTGGTCTCTAAAGTGGTGAAAAACGTCTTATTTTGCCTCAAGAGCTTCAGTTTATCGTCACAGAGGAGGAAAGAAACCAGAAAGTATTCATGTTTAATGAGCTGCAATCACAGAATTTAGACTTTTTTAAAATTAAAAATCACTCAAACTCATTAACCAATAATCAGAACACTTGATTTAATGGTTGACGACTAATCAATTAATCTCTGCAGCTCATTAAAGTTGATTCATTTAGTCGCTGCAGCTACAAACTGTCGGATTTCTTCTCCTCCTTCGACTTATTTCACTCAGCTGATCATGTTTCTAGAAGAGTCTCCGTCTGTCCAACTTCTAAAACCTCCAACTGAACGTCTCATAACAACCGACGTGACAGAAATTCATCCTGATTCTAAAATCTGCTGGAGGCGACCAAAGCGGAGCTAAAAGTCAGGATTCATTCAGAACCTTCTCTGGGTTTAAACCTTTTCCAACAGAGTTCGGTTTGATGAGCTGTTTGGTCTCTAAAACATCATCAGATGGTGAAAAGTGTGGATCAGAGTTTCCTCAGTCGACTAACGATGTTCAGTTGTTTGGTGTCTAAAACGCGAGAAAATGGTGAAAAAAAATGTGGTTCTGTCCAAAAATATTCATTTTACTGTCACGAAGGGGGAAAGAAACCAGAAAATATTCACTTTAAGAAGCTGCAGTCACAGAATTTAAACTGTTTTGTCTTAAAGAAAAAATATTCAAGCTGATTAATTATTTATAGATTAGTTGACGGTGTATCGGAAAATGATGCTGAACGAACTAGTTTTAATTCTCTCCCGGTTTGTTTTTCAGAACATCCGCGACATCCTCCTGGTGGGTCACCGGCAGGCGGTGGCCTGGATCGACGAGTGGCACGGTGGGTGGAAGATGGTCAACATTTCACAGATGAAACGTTCGCAACAATCCAGCTGCTGTTCGCCCGAAGGTCCACCGATGAATATGCATTTTGCTGTTTGTTCCTCCCACAGGCCTGAGTCTGGAGGAGGTGAGGGCGTACGAGCAGGCCATGCAGGAGAAGACCAACAGCAAAGTCAAGTCCAGCCAGAACGGCACAGGTGAGAAGATCCGAGCCGGTCGCAGATGGAAAGAAGAGCAGCGAGTTTGAAACGTATATCTGCAGTAATTATTCACGCATTTAAATTCAAGCACGGAAAACACACAGACTCCCGTCCAAAGCACACATTTATAGGTCATTAGGAAGTGAGAGCGAACAGGTGTTTAGTGTTTCAGCAGCCCGGCGCGTCGTCCTGCAGAACAGCACGAATTCATACGTCTTCATCTGGACTTTATTTATTATAGCAATAAACTAACAGCAGCGTGAAAACAACCTCACCTCAGAGCTAAACGTGGATTTAATGAAAATGTGCAGGATTATTTTCAATGTTGATTACTTTCCGGGCTAATCGATCAATTGTTTGGTCTCTCAAATGCGAGAAAATGAGGAAAATGTGAATCAGAGTTTCCTAAAGTGTCTAAAGATGTTCAGTTTACTGTCAAAGAAACCAGGAAATAGTCACGTTCACAAGCTGAAATGAGGGAATTCAGGCTGTTAAACGTAATAAATGACAATAAATCAATGAATCTCTGTTGATTCATTCAGTCGCTGCAGCTACAACTAACTGTTGTGTTCGGAGGTGACCAAACCGGAGATAAAAATCAGGATTCAGTCATAAACTTCTCCATTTGGATTTAAATCGGAGAGTTTGTTTTGAGACTTTTGTCATTGTTGATTATTTTCTGGATGAATCGATCGACTGTTTGGTTTCGAAAAATGCTGAAAAATGTGCATCGATATTTTAAAGAAACCAGAAAATATATTCATATAAGAAGCTGCAATCACAGAATTAAATCTGTTTAACCAATTTATTGATGATCACAATCGTTGACAAATGATTTAATAGTCGACTAACGGATTAATCGTTGCGGCTCTCGATGGTTCACTGAGTTTCTGCCTGCAGGTCGAACAAAAGAAGTCTTTCTAAAGATGGGAGTCACTGATGGACGCTTTCACCGTCCTGTGACAGTTTAGAGACAAAACAAAACAAAAAAACGATCAGTAGGTTAAAAAACAGTTTGCTTCAAACAGGCCAAATATCTAGACTTAGTTGTAGTTTGTCTTGGATTCGCCATAAAGTCACGAAACGCCTCAAGCAAGAGTCAAACTCGACGAGAACTGAATTGAAACTGAGGATTATTTTCATCGTCGACTGTTTTCTAGACGAATCGATCAGTTGTTTGGTCTCTAAAATGTCCAAAAATATTCAGTTTGCTGTCGTCAAAGAGGAAAGAAACCAGAAAATATTCAAGAATTTACTGAAAAACAACAAAGTCAACGATTACCAAAATAGTTGGAGACTGAGTTCATAGGTGACGATTAACTGATTAATGGCTGCAGCTCTACAAACTGAAACATTAATTTAAAAGCAGCGTGAACATGGAGCACTTTGGAGCCTAAAACATCCTCAGACATCTCAACGTAAATTAAATGAAGACTTTGACCTCTGACCTGTATTTAAAAGAGAATTATTTGTGTTGTCCACTATTTTCTGGACAAATCGATCGACTGTTTGGTCGAGAAAACGTTTAAAAGCGTGGATCAGAGTTTCCTCCAATGTCTTTTCTCCAAATATACTCAGTTTCGTGCTACAGAAGGAGGGAAAGAAACCAGAAAATATTCACATTTAAGAAGCTGCAATCATCTAATCTAAATCTATACTGAGTAAAAACGTGTGTTTTCTTGCAGTGTGCTTTGACTTGTATTTAAAAGACGGCTTCCAAATGTGGTCTTTATTGTGCTGTCGACTATTTTCTGGACAAATCGATCGACTGTTTGGTCTCTAAAGTGCGAGAAAATGTTTAAAAGTGTGGTTTAGTGTTTCCTCAATGCCTTTTGCTCGTCTATATTCAGTTTAGTGCTACAGAAGGAGGGAAAGAAACCAGAAAATATTCACATTTCAGGCGCCGCGAACAGAATTTATCAGCTGTGGCGTGCCGAGCCGAGTCCGGCTGCAGCTCCTCTCGGCGCCCTACAAGTACCCAGATGGCTTCGGTGCATCTGTGGGAGAAAAATGGGAAGAGAAGAGCAGTCAGGAGGCATTTCACAACACGAGGAGCAGAAACCGAGGGAGTGTGCCCAGAAGAAGAGAGACAGATGTGGTGTTGGTGTGTGTGTGCGGACGGGACGGATCATGAGGCGATAACGCGGCGGCGGCGGCGGCGGCGCTCTGATAAACAGTGTAATGCAGCCACCTGCTGAACCCTCACCACCAGCAGCCCTCACAACATAAATAACCCGCCAGCGCCGCACTTAGCTGCAAATGTCAGACCCGCTGGGGGTAAATGTGTGCGTGTGTGTGTGTGTGTGCGTGGTCGCCCTGCCCCCTGCTGGTCGGTCTGGTGAAGCTCGGCTGGGTGATATCAAAGCTAGAATTCCCAACATGGCCCGTAGCGTCTCAGTGTGTGATGATGAGAAACACGAGGCTGCAACAAATCTGCAGTCATTGCTCAACCCGCTGCAGCTCGACGCGCCGCCACCGCCGCCGCGACCCCCTGCAGGCCGCGAGCCGCCACTGCGCTCCGGCTGACGAATGGTTTTCATTTCATTCATCTGCCGTAATAAAAGCAAATGGATGTCGTTTGCTCCGCAGAGTCCAATAAAAAGTTTGGAGCGTGAGCCGAATACCGAGCAGGATCTCTAACCACAGTTCTCCCGTGTTCCGTCGCAGGTTCCCAGGTCGCGGCCCGCCCGCCGTTCTCCCGCTCCATCTCCGTGACGGACGAACGCTCCCTCAAGAAGATGGGTGTCACCACGGCGACCATGTCGGACCCATCGGACCCGTCGGCGCCTCCGGCTCACCTTCGCCTCAACTCCACCCCAGAATGACAAACGCANTGTTGCAGATTAAACTCCAGAACCGTCGCTGTCAGAACCGTAAGCCGACCAGTTTGTGACAGAACATTAGTTTAACGACTATTTCAGAGAGAAACCAAACAAACATTTTATGATTTCAGGCTCTCAGATGTGTTGATTTGCTTCTTTGTTCCTGTTTTTGTTCCGTTTCCTGCCGTTGTGCGCTGCAGGACTTCTAATGGATCATTTCTGCAGCGTGAGCTGATAGAAACCCAGACAAAGACCAGAGAGCCGTTCTAAAAGGCAGCATCCGGCTAATGCAGCCGGGTTCGGGACCTTGGTCCGGCCGGCGCCGGCGGCTTTTATCTTTTCCTTATTTGTGAGTTTTCAGCTGTGAGATGAGCGACTTCGGCGTCGGAACAGATTCTGAACAAGGTCAGATGAAAGTGGTCTCTTCTCAGGGAAACGTGCTCTGGGCTCTGCTAGCGTCCGTCCTTGTGGTTCTGGCCGCTCTGCGAGGCCCGAGGGCGGCAGCACGAGTTGTGTTTCGGTGTGTGACCTCCGTTTCTGTTGTTGCGCTGCCTGACCTCCTCGTCTGTCCGGATGCAGGTGTTCGGAGACGCGCCGACGCCGGCCGACAGCGTCGCCTTCCTGGACATCCTGAGCGACCCGATCCCCGAGAAGCACTACAGGGAGTCGGAGGTACCACCCCTAACACGCTAACACGCTAACGGACACGTGAGCTGCTTA